GGGATGGAAAGATGAGCTAGTATGACAGAAGTAGGAATAAAGAGCCTGTCTTAAAGGTGGAGGCCAGGAGCCTGGCTTTAGTTAGAACAAGGAAGGAATAAAGAGGTCATGGTAGCTCTCTGAAAAGGCACATGGGGTAGGCTGTATTGGTACCCATCAACTGCTGGAGCTAATGAGCAGCAAGAGACAGTGTGTGGGTAGACTTCAGTGCATTTAGGGTGGAAATCAGAAGAAAGGCCAACTATGAAATTAGTGGTAACTGGGGAACAGCCTTGCAATAGAAGATGTCTAAGTGGCTTCATAGGACTGGTATTCCATCTGGGGAAGGATATGGGTTTGTAGAGAACTGTAGTAATAAGAGGCCTGACATGATGAGCCAAGAGTCCCTCATTCCTCCATATTAAAAACAGTGGTAACTGACTTGGTCCAGAAGCTTTGACATCTAAGATGAGTACAGTTGACTGTTGTGTGCTCCATGAAGCACTATTTGAGATGTAGGATGCTGGTAAGAAGCATATATCTCCTTAGGAATATTATTGGAGTAATAGCCCTTAAAAGATTATTCTATGTCCCTTCTGGGCACTTCAGGCTTTTTACACATCTTTATGTTCTATCCTATGCTAATTTGAGCTCATGATTTAATTTTTTTCTATGCAACTGCAGAGGGTAGGTATTTCTGGTACAGCCTGTACTGGGCTGGAATGCACAGGACTGGCTGAATCTGACCTTAGCTGATCTAGTAAACTTAGGTTACTGGTTTGGCTGAGAGGTAACTTGAAGAAGCTGATCTACTTGTAAATAACTACTAAATAAACAAAACAAACACAAACCCCAAAGCTATTTCCATTACTCCAGCTAAAAGAAAGGATTGGCTACTTTGTGTCCTTTCTCTTGCAGGTGTTTTTTCTTGGATTTTTTGAGGTTGGGGTAGTATTAAGTCCTTTGGTTCAAAGTACATGTTTTTCTGTAAATGATAATGTGTAGCACAAAATCATCTAGACTCTGAATGATTCCTGTGCTTCTCTTGCACAGTACTTCCAAACTGGGGTAGGCTGGCACTTCTGCTCAAGAATGGACAGGTTCTGCCTCTAGCAATTTTTTCCCCTTCTTTATGCTGGCAGAAGACTTGTGTGGTGAACCTGATCAGGGGACTGATGTGGGTTAAAACTAAACATCTCTTTTTTTGCTAGGTTAGTTTTAATCTGGGTTGGTTTGCCACACTGCTGCACAAATGTTTGTACCAGCAAGAGGGTGGAAATGAGTGACTTGGGGACAGCCAGGCTGCTGCTTTTGGCTGCAGTGCCATCTTTCCCATGCTTTAACTCAAGGCTGTGGTGGCACTTTTGCCACACTGTCCTTGGGCAAAGCGATGAACTGCCATGATGTGGGTCTTCCTTTCCATGTCCTCATTTAGTTTACTTATTGAGTGGTTTTGTATGTAATAGATGTGGTGCTGATCTAATCAGGTAGTGCTATACATGAAAGTAATTTATGGTTTGAGTACATACTATTTACACAGACATACTTAGCATATTGATTTACACTTCCTCCAGTGTTTCTCAGCTAGTTTCATATTATCCTCCAGGATGAATTACTGTCCCTGGTGCAACTCTCAAGCAGTGAGGAAACAGCTAGTGACAGAGCACAGTGAGCACGCAGGAGACAACAATGACTGTGCAAGTGGTGAGAGAGAGAGAGGGAGCCCAAGGGGTCTAGATCTGTCAGCAGCACCTTTTAGCCTCCTCCTACTGGAACTTGTTTCTCTGGCCTGATGCCAGCCTCTGAGGTGATGTCTTGGCTAAGGAGTTCTGAGCAGCCTCAAACTCTGCTTCTGCACTTATTTATTTATTTTTTATTCCTTGTCTGAAACCTTTCCCCTGAAGGTCCATCTTCTGGCCATGGTTGCTTTTTTAGCCATCTTATCCTGGCTGCCCCAACAATGTACCTTTGTCCTGTTGCACTGTCATCAGAAATATTCCATAGTGACTGTGTTGCAATGCCTGATTTCTTGCTTCACTAGTAACTAATTTCAAAATTATATTAGAAAACATGCAACCCGATGGTAGTCTGTCAGAGGTTTTTGCTTTACTGTGAGTTAAGAGTTCATGCTGGCATTACTGATCTACTGAAGCCTGGATCTACTGATCCAAAAGAAATATCACCAAGGTTAATGCACTATTAAATCTTTTTGACAAGGGACTTCCAAGAGACTAAGTGTGAATGTGAGGTTTTTCTTTTGCCTTACTGAGCTCCCACTCTGTTGTTAATCTGATCTAACTGGGTATTTAAGACCTACTCCTTTGGTTTGTTTTGGTTCTACCAAAGAAACCTTTGGTTTCTGCTTCGATGCAAAATGCAGCAAAAGAGACTGCTGGATTTTCTCCTCACTTTTAGTATGAGATTACTGAAGTGCTCTACTCTGGCAAAACTCTGTCCCAGACACAAATAAACCCAGGAACCCACCCACATGCCACAGTTCTATTCTTACCCTGTGTGAGGAAAAGCCAGCACTGCTGGCTGGGATTAGAAAAGGGCACAACTTGCCTTCTGTGTGCCTGAAGAAGCACAGCTGTGCAGCCTAGCATCCCAACATCTTAGAACTTTGACAACAGCTTGCTTTTTTACAGTGGGAATACTTCTGTACTATCAGGAGATAATCCTTAGTAGCTCGGTGTGCTTACTTTGTGTTGGAGTTTAATTACCACAGGGACTTGCACAAGTGGTGATACATGGAGAAAGGAATCTTGAGAGCAAAAATAATCTAGAAGGTGGAAAAGGCTGTGAAACAAAGGGCTGGTGGCAGTAGGAGGAGTCATGGAAAGATACTGCAGACTATTTTGGCACAACATAGTGGTTTGTAGCCAGAAACTTTAGAAATATATCGTGTTGCTGTTGCTTGTAGTATGCCTGGGTATCTTGACGTGGGTGAGATGCAAGAATGTGGAGACTGTTGCTGCTTCTTAAGATAACTGTTGATATTCTTGAGATAACTGTTGGAGAACACACCACCCAAGGTCTAGTGAGGTGTCTCTCAGGAGGCTGCGGAAGAATTGGGTAGAGCTCAGGGGCAAACTACAAGGATTCATTGCGTGGTAATTGCCCTTGCAGTGAGGGAGGAAAAAGATCAGTGTGTTCAGTGTGGTAGGCAGAAGGCAGATGAGGGGCTGCCTGGAACAATTGTGAGCACCCATGCTGGCATGAGTTGCTTAACGTCAGGCCTTTTTCATGTCTTCAGCAAATGTGTGATGAAAGGTTAGACTTTGGAGTTGGCCAAGTTCAGTATGTAAATGCTATCTGTTAATTTTAAGTAGTAACTGGAACATATTAATGTGGTGGAGAAATAAAAACTCAACAATAGTCCATTAGTTAATGCTAGAAGGTTCTCTAAAAGGTGGCCCCTCTTCAAATTGTTTAGCTTCTGTAGGGCTTGCTAGGGAGGTTGTCTGGTCGTGTGTCACCAGAGAGTGAGCAATGGCAATCCTTGATGTCCTTGCAGAACTGACTGCTGTACAAGAAAAGGAGAAAGTGGGTGTGAGGGCAAGCTATGCTTCTTGGAAGTACACATTAAAGGCTCCATTTCTGATAGTTTGTAGGCTGCAGTACGAGGCCTAGAAAGCATTGTGTATTTATCACCCATCATTGGTAGTTATCATTGGCTAACTAAAACTAATATGCTATCTGGAGTACTAATCATTTAAGGGGGTTTGATGTATAATCAGGGTCAGTTAATAAAGTGTTGCTTGATACAGTTCTTCAAGATAAAAGGTTGATAGTTATCTCTTTTTTGTTCCACTGTATTATGTAAATTTATCTAGGCTATTGTGTCCTAGGCATCAGCCTATTCGAAGAAACAAGCTGTGTAAGCACAAGAGCCATTGGTGATGGAAAGGTTACTAGAATGAAGTTTGAAGCCTGTTGTGCAAGGATCTTAGAAAGCTGACTTTTTGAAAACAAAATTTGACTCTCTTAAAAAAGCAAAAAGGCAAATGGTGTCTTTGCCAGTGTTTGAAATGACCAGAAAATGATCTGGTTGCCTGGATGTATTTGGTAAAACAAAGCTGAAATAAACTTAGAATTGTGTCAGTTTCTAACTCAACATGTGTTGACTCTGTACTTGCCTAGTATTCTGGTGACCATTTAGGAAAACATCTTCATTATCATCATTTAAAAAAACCATTCCTGTAGTCCTCATTAAAACTGTCTATCTGCACCCAAGAAATTGGCTTGGGGAACAGGAACGCCTAATATATATTTTTTTAAATGTCTTTGTTTTTTAAATTTGCTTCCATATAGAGTGAGTTTCTGCCAGGAAGTTAGTCTTAGAAAAGGGAGAAGCTTGCTCTGTTTTTTCAGTATCATTTGGTGCAGCACTGGTATTTTGAGGTCATGATTCTGTTCTCAGTCAGCAGGAGGAATGACTTCAGTGATGATCACAGTAGATGCAGATATTGCCTTGACAGTGGCACCATTTCCTATTAACAGGCTTAGTATGAGTTTGCTGCACACAGTATTGATGCTTTTTAAAGACAGATGTCTAGTAATGACTTGATCTTTTTCTAAGCATAAGTTTGATATTGCTAGGTTGTAGAATAAGGGCTGTCTTTGAATCATGGATAAGGACTTAATTTTCTTGGCCTCTGTTCTAGCCACGTGTCTCTCACATTTTTGTTGTGGCTTTTTTTATTCCCCTCTCTCCCCTCCCCCATCTTGGTGGTCAGTGAGGAAATCAATGGGATAAAGTTAAAGCTAGTAATTCCACAAAGATATGTGTTCTCCTGTCTCCCACCCAATAAAACCACACATATATTATGGTACGTCAGCATGGCCTGAGAAACTTCTGTGTAGTACCAACTGAAATTGGGGTTGGGACTTAAATCAGCCACCAACAGAAGGCTGCATTGTATGGGTTGAATGTTGCTGTTCAAATATGTATTGAATTGATTATTGGGTGGGAGAGTTCTCTAAGCAAAAATAAACCAATTGAATGTTGATGGCCTTAGAAGTTTTGCAGTGTGTCAGATGTTAAGCATGTTTTGCTTTGTTCCAGTAGCCGGATCGAGCTGGGAGATGTGACGCCACACAACATTAAGCAGCTGAAGAGGCTAAACCAGGTCATTTTTCCTGTCAGCTACAATGACAAGTTCTACAAGGATGTACTGGAGGTTGGCGAACTAGCCAAATTAGGTACAAACGTTCTTGCCAAGTAATTGTGGGCTATGGTGGCAGAAGTGCTTGTCGTTGCTATCCATAATGGTTTTGAATAGCAGATCCTTCTACATTACTGTTTTACATAATGAAAAATAACTGTTTGCAAACCTCAAAAAGCCACAGTGCCAACCTCAGAGGGTTTGTGTTCTAAATAGATGCCGTTTTACTGGGAGTAGGCATGGTTTCTGTTACAGCAGAAAACAGTGCAGAGGTGCGTGCTACCAGCTTACCTCCTGATGGCATTAGTAGTTCATTTGAACAGTAATAAGCAAACCACTGTGTCAGAACACCATTGGTAACTTCACTCCAAGTGTGAAGTCACAGTTCTATCTGGATGTTTTATCCAGTGTTTTATCTGGATGGGAGAATGGCCAAGAGGGAAGGAAGGATGATAGAGGGCATAAATGAAGGAGCTGTATGTACAATTTGAGATTTGTGACTGATTGCACTGTTTCTCTCCTTGGCAGCCTATTTCAATGATATTGCAGTGGGAGCAGTGTGCTGTAGGGTGGATCACTCCCAGAACCAGAAGAGACTGTATATCATGACGCTGGGATGCCTGGCACCCTACCGAAGGCTAGGAATAGGTGAGGAGGACCTTCTTCTGTAGCTGAGTCGTCAAACCACCAGGTTGCCTGCAGCCTTCTGAATGCTCTTTCAGATTTCTAACCAAGATAGTGCACTTTCAGACCACGGATTTCTTTGGAAGGCACTTTAGGGAAAG